CCATTATTCCGCACTGGGCCAAGAAGTGGTAACAAATTTACTGCAGGGGAACTTTCTAAGCCCACATTCTTTGAGGCCAAGTATTAATAAGTATAATGCTAGCTGGATCTGCTATGTTAGAATCCTCCAGCAACATGTTCAAATTGTTCCTATAGGAGCTATTGGGTGGTCAAGTAATATAGGCAAAAAATATAAATGCAGTTTTTTAATATGTTGTTGATGCTATTTTTAATCATAATTGAAATTTCCTTTTGATAATTTATATAATTTTTGACTCATTTTTATTACACAAATTACTAGATAAAGCTTCACTTTTATTTTAACCGGAGAATACAACATTATAGCAGCCCAGTGACTCTGTTCAAACAAGATCAAATAGAAGAATGACGTCCAAGGCCAAGAAGTATGAAGATTATATTATGGGTTAATGACCTTCAGCAGATCATAACCTTAGTAGTTTTGTCCTAGGTGGATGGAGTAGATTTATTTAATTAGTACCCTTTTATGACAATTGGTGATAATCTATAATTTTTTTTATTTATCAATTTATAGATTGGTTTACTTTTTCATTAATGAATTATTTGACGGATGAATATTTTCTTAGTTAAATTGTTAGTGTAGTATTTATAGTTACGAATGTAAAATCAGGTAAAATTTTAAATGTATAGACTGAGTGTTCTATAAAATTAAAATCTAAATTTAACTTATTATTTATAATGTTTTTTTAATAAGTTTAGTCATATTTTTTTAAAAGTCTAGTTTGACCTATTAACTTATTTTACATTAATAATATTAAATATGTCAATAAATTTAATTTAAATAAATTAATAAATTATTTTAAATTCATGTGCAAGTTTTTTAAATTAGCATGATAAAAAAATTGTTTAGTCTATTATTATTAAAATTTAGAATTTAAAATAAAAATGAAAATAAAAAATTAAAGTGAGAGAATAATTCATGTATACTCATATATATTAACGTACACTCATGCACAAATTATGATGAAAGAAGATGATCTTAATATA